GCACATCGACCACTCGCTCCTGACGGTCCTGTGCCCCTCCATGTACCTCTTCCATCCCGACTCTCCCTCCCTCGACCCGCTCGTCATCCCGGCGCCGTCCCGCTCGACCGGCCTCTTCATCAAGACCCGCGGCGGCAAGGTCGTTCAGGCGTCGATTCCCGAAAACTGCGTGGCGCTGCAGACGGGCGAGACGGTCGAGCTCTTGACGAGTCGACGATTGGCGGCGACGCCGCACTTTGTCAATGCGACGGCGGCGAGTCTGGGGAGGAAGGCGCTGCAGGCGATCGAGCGTCAGAAGGAGGATGACCCGGAGAGGTGGGGCCGGGTTGACGGCGGCAAAGTGACGCGTGAGACCCTGGCGGTCTTCCTCCAGGTGCGCCCTCCGTCCCTTCCTGCTCGCGTGCGCTCGCGAGACGACGCCGTTGCTGACTCGCTTTCGCATTGTGCCGCTAGCCCAACCACGATGAGGTCGTGTCGGAGGACGGTGAGACGTTTGGCGAGTTCTCGGCGCGAGTCTTCAAGCGGCACTACAACGACGCCAGGTAGACGTTTACTGCCGCTGCCAAGGGTTGCTGCAACACGGCGGACTCTGCTCGCCGCGCTTCCTAGTCGACCTGCTGGGGTGCGTGCGGGAAGCACCCGCCCGGCGCGGTGCGCCTCAATGCCGAGAGAGCATGCCGGCGGTCCCGCGCCCAGAGCAACCGAGAGTATCGGGACAAGAGCGCACTGCAGTCAGAGTAGGGAGGAGATGCAGAGAAAGTCGACGTCGCTGGCTGCTGCAGCTCGGCTGGCTGGACCGGGCGCGGGGTCCGAGGCCGAGACCGCGCCGTGCAGGCAAGCCCTCGACTCGCTGTTCACCGTCCCTCGCCCCCCCTTGACACTCGGCTTGCTCTGCACACTCGGCAAGGGCACACCACAAGAGCAGGCTCAGCAGAGCCACCCACCGACCATGCCAGCCAGCCAGCCGGGGCGACCTCCCGATCTCGGCGCGCCCGTGCCGATCCCTCCCTCGCTCGCTCGAGTGCGAAGCGACGCCGTTTGGGACGCTCAGGGCAAGGGCAAACCCCGACACAGGACCCCGGACAGCAGCGAATCGACCCAGGCCTCGGGCCCCGCTCACCACGGCGGTGGTGGTGGTGACCACTCGACGTCGGTGCGTCCCCCTCTCCCGCTCCTTGCGTTCGCCCGCGCGTCCTTCACTGAATGACAAGGTGTGACTGACGACCGATGCCCCGTTCCTCACATGCGCTCCCACAGCACCAGCATCACAACGGCACGGCACAAGCTCCTCCACCCGTTTCTTCGCGCGAGCCGCCTAGCTCGCTGCCTTCCCCCGCCGTCTCTTCCACACGCCGCCTCGGCGCACTCGGCATCCCCCTTCCTTCCGAGGACGGCACAGATGGCGACGACGAAGACGCCTTCACCCCCTCGAGCACGTCGTCGAGCGGCTCGCTCGAGGCCAACCCGCCAGCGTCGCCCCTCGTCCCGACGCACGACCCGCCCGAACCAACCTACTCGCGTGGCGGGAGCACCAGGTCTGGCCCGAGTACGCGCAGTGGAGAGAACGACGGAGGCGCGTTCGTGTCGGAGCAGAGCTTCCGCGACATTGTGCGTCAAGCTGCCTCGTTCTGCCCCCGCAACGCCTTTGCTGACCCGCCCTTTCCCCTCAGGTCGACGAGTTGACGTTGCAGAGTGCGTAGTCTACCCTTGCTTTCTTTCGCCGAGCATGCGCTCACTCAAGACTCCTCCCTCGCAGATCAGCGGCTGAAAGCCCGGCTTAAGCGGTTCGAGTCGGCGCGGGTGCCTACCAACCTGCGCAACGAGCGCCTGTTCGAGGTCCGCTTTTTTGATGGTCTGCCCAAGTGCGCTTCTGTTCCGACTCTTGCTCCTTCCCGACGTGTGCTCACAAGTCTCGCCTGCAGACAACGGCGCCGCGAGATCGAGGGCTTCCTCACAGACTACGTGCAGACCCTCTCCAGCACTGCGTCCTCCGGCGACCTCCTCAGCTCGTCCTCGCGCATCAATGTCACGGGCGAGTCGAGCAATCACGGGCACACCGAGTCCACGTCGTCCCTCGGCGCGACCTTGCGCTCGCTGCGCAGCTCCGAGCGCGACCTGCTCGGCAAGGAGGCGCTCCTTGCTCCCGTCGGCGGCCCGGCAGCTGCGCAGGCCGAGCGGTCCGTGACGGGCTCGGGTAGCGGGTCGGGCAGCGGGGGAAGGAGGCAGCGGAGGTCTCGCGAGAAAGAAGCCGTCTACATTGAGCCACTCGGCGCGACGCCGTCCTTACCCCTCCCCGACCCTCCCGCCCTCCTTCGCCGCCCTACCGACATCTTTCCTCCCGAGCGCGACGTCCTCGCCGCACCGTCTTTTTCGGGCGCAGAGCCGCGCTCGACGATGGGGACGGGCAGCGGCATGCGCATCTCGGACCCGACGTCCAAGAAGCGCAAGCGCGCGCACAAGTCGCCCGAGGCGGCGACGAGCCCGGAGCGCGTGCCGCGCGTGCGCCGGACGGCGAGCTACGACGGCTCGACGAGCAGTCGGAGCGGGACGCCCGACCCGGAGCGCCTCGAGTTCCTCATTGTCGACATGCTTGAGCGCCTCTTCTCCGAGTCGCTGCCGCTCGACCTGCCCGAGCAGCCGCAGAGCCCGCCGCCGAACCCGCTTCACAGCGAGCCGCACCCACTCCCGGCCCAGTCGTCGACCAACACGGCGTACCTGCGCGCCATGCTCGAGTCGGACGAGACGCAGGCGCGTGGCGGCTGGCTCTACCTCAACCTCGTCTCGACCATGGCGGCGCTGCACCGCCTCAACGTCAGCCTCGCGACCGTGCGGCACGCGCTGCGCACCAAGAGCTCGCTTGTCGAGGTCAGCGCCGAGGGCGACAAGATCCGGTGGAAGGGCCCGCGGACCAAGCCCGCCCCGCGCGCGCAGGACGTCGCCGAGGCGCAGGAGGCCGATTTCGGCATGGGCGACATGGAGGACAACAGCATCGAGGCGACGCGCATGCAGGGCGTCGAGGACGCCGAGCGCGCAGAGGAGGAGGCGGCGCAACGCCGCCGCAAGGTCGTCCCCGCTGGACGGTCGCAAGACCGCGGCTCGAGCGGGTCGAGTCGCTCGAGTGGCGACGTGCCCGACTCGATGTTTGACGAGCGAGGCGGAGGTGGTGCTGGTGGCGGGTCGGCGGGACGCAACGGCAACACCGTGAGCGGGAGTGGGAGCGGATCGGGCAGGCCGTCCAAGGGCTCGACGGCGCCGACGTCGCAGTACCCGTCGCACGGGTCCAAGAACGGCTCGAGCTCGCAGGGCGAGAAGCGCCTCATGGGCTCCGGCGCGCACGCGCCGGCTCCTGGACTCGAGCCCATCGTCGCGTCGGACCGCAGCGGCGAGGTCACGGCCGCGCCACAGGTCAGCAGCGCACTCCGTCACTCGGTCGACGAGCTGCACGTGCTTGCTGCGCAGGGCGGCAGTGACAGCGCCCACGTCCTCGGCTCGACCGTGCAGGCCACGCCAAAGCACCTCGTCTACACGCCCCTCTTTGTTCGCCGCAACGACTCGGGCTCTGAGAAGGGCAGCAACGACGACGAGTCTGTCGACTCGGCCGAGTCGGGCGGTGACGAGGCGCGCCCGTCAAAGCGCCGCAAGGAGAATGGCGGCGTCGTCTTCTTCGCCAACCCGCTGTTCTACTCGGATCTGGCCGGCGACTCGGGCGCGCGCGTCCAGGCGCTACAAGAGCGCGTGACCGACCTCCGTGCGCCCGACGCGGTCCTCGGCGCACCGTCGACGCGTGCGGGCTGCACGGCCGGCAGCGGGTCGGCTCTCGACGACGCGCAGTCGAGGTCGCGGTCTAGCCTGACGCCGCTCAGCGAGGCCGACTCGGTCGAGTCGCGGTCGATGAAGCTCGACGGTGCGGCCGAACGCGCCCCCTGGTCGTCGAATGCCTCGGACGACGCCTCGATGTCGGCTGGCTCGGTCATCGACGGCGAGGCGGCTTGGGACGCGATCGAGCCCGTCGATGTCGCGCCGTCGGGCCCGGCGCCCCCGAGCGCGCAGAATCACGACGTGTTCCAGATCACCCCTTACCCGAACCTGCAGCTGTCGGGCGTGAGCGACGACGTGACGGCCGCCGACCACTTTACCACGCACGTCAAGCACCTGCACCCTTCCCTCCCTCCATCCCTCGACCGCGCGTCGCTCCCGAAGCGCATCCGCCCCTCGTTCGCTTCCGTCCTCCCCCCGCCTCTGTCCGCGCACCGACACCACCCGGCGCTCGTCGCGTCCACCTGCCTCGCGTCCCACACGCTGCACCACCACCCCTCGGTCTGCGTCCGCTTCCCACGGCACCGCCTCCGCATGTCGTCGACTGCATCCGACACGGACGGCGAAGACGGTGACGGCGGGTCCTACGCGCGCGGGAGCGCCTCGCCGACATCGACCCAGATCCGCCGCCTCGCCGAGGCGCACAGCGGCCTGTCCGGCGCAGACTACCTCATGTCGCTCGCGCTGCCGCTCAACCACTGGGCGCCCGAGCTGCGCCGCGTGGCGAGCAGCGACGAGCGTGCGAGCGAGGCGCCGAGGACGGGCGAGAGCGCGTCGCTCATCACTATTGACTAGCATCTTCCCTCTTTCTTCCTCTCCTCGTCTTGGGCTCCCCGTCGGTGTTGTAGGCCTCCACTCTTCCTTCTGTATCCTCGCAAGCACGCATTGAGGCTTCGACATTGTCCGCGCGAGAGCTCGAGAGCCGTACTCTTTGTCTCGCTGCTCGAGGCTTGCCTCACCGACCTGCTGAGCTGGCTCTGCTATTCAGGGCTGCGTCCGTACACACACAGGAAGCACCACAAGCGCCCTCGAAATTTGCAGGCACCGCGAGGCTAGAGGAGCGCAATCGGATCTTACGAAGTAGCACGGGGCACCTCCGGTCTCGCGCGTCCGGGAGGGGAGGTAAAAGAAACAAAGCACCTGGCACCAACCTGGCACTCAGGCATCAATTCTTTCAAAAAGGATACTACAGCGGGGAATCGAACCCCGGACACCGCCTCGTTCAGCGAAATAATCGCTGGTATGGGAAAGCGGTAGTTTGCCTCTAGCCTACTGCAGTAGTGTGTTTCGACTGAGGTGCTCGCGCTCCGTCAAGTTCCAATGCCATGTAAGTCAATAATGTAAGGGTGAATCTCAGAAGTCATGGAGGACGTAGATCTCGGCTCTCGACCCTGTCTACGTGCTGCTGTAACGGCGACAGCTCATTGTTTAGTTGTTGCTGCGAGGTGCCAATGTGAGTCACCACAACCCGGGGAAGGTAGCGGCCTTCGACACGACAAGCGACGACTCGCGTAGAGGTCTGCGCCGTGTCTGCGCCCTTCTCTCTGCGCTCCGCTCAGTGTTTGCTCGCACGGAGACCTCCGTGTGTTCTCCAGCAGGTCGATCGCTCGAGTGACGAGTGACAAGCAACGACAGAGCGCCGAGCGGTCGCGACTGAACCTGACGGCTCGGAAGGTCCGTGCGCGCAAGAGGCCCCGCGTCTTTCTCTGCCTCTCTCTCCCGAGGTAGCGCAGATGTCCATGTGACGGGGGTGCGAACGCTTTGCAGTTGGCGTCGAGTAGGCAAAGGCGAGGCGCATCCCACCGCAGCTCGGGAAAGCCTTGACGCTGCTGCCGGAGGTCGCACCCAAGCTCGCAGCCCGCAAGCGAGACCGACGGGTGAGCGGGCTGAGAACTCTGGCGCGACCTCACAAAGACCTATTCCACGTCTGGTGCGAGGGGTCATGCGTGGCTCCAGGTGGGGACAGACTGCGAGAGGACGGCCCCCTCCGCGTTTCCTCGCCCTACTCCTCCTTTGCTGTCGACCGTCGACGAGCCAGTCGAGGCTTTCTTGTCAGTCTTGTCATTCGCCCGTCGCGCCTCTCTTCCCAGTCTTCGAGCGGGAGAAAGGCCCGTCCTGCTCGCCCCTGCGCCTTGCCGTCGCCGTCGAGTCCTCCTCCGCGCCAATCTTCCGCGCCCTACCCCTCTTCGACCTTCAACACCCTCGAGGTTGTCGAAACCACTTCGACCAAGCTCAAGTCGCGATGTTGAGGGAGAGTGCGGAGGCCAGACGCGTGAGTTGCGCATGAGGGAGGGCGAGGGGAACACCGCACCGCGCGGCCCGGAGCGGCACTCTTTCGTGTTGCCGGCCTGACCCGCCGATGCCCAGTTGTAATCTGATCTGGACGAGTCGACCGCACCTCTCGGGAGGTCAGAGGGGACTCGACTCGTCGTGCTTCGAGCGTGAAAGCTTGCGCTTGGGGCTTGCCCCTCGATTCCGGAACCGCATGACCCTTTCCTCACAGAACTGAACTCACTGGCAGCTTGAGCGCTCTGTCCTGGGGCGGGGGAAGCGCTCATTTCGCGCCCAATCCTCGCACCCCCTCCTCCCCGGCCCTTTTTCACGCTCAACCTCGACAACCCCGCAGTCTCACACGCCCGAGTTCGGCCCCACAGCGGATGACGAGGCCTCGACTCGTTAGTCGCTGAGGTTGCGCCTGTTTCTCCCCCTGCAGCTCCCTCTCACCACATCCACAGCGCTTGGTTGCGACCACGAAACAGGGGCCATGGTTGACTCGCCAGACTACCACTCGGACTCGACTGCGGTCGACAAGCCGTCGCCTCGCTCGTCCCGCTCTCCTCGGGCTGCTCGCCGTCAGCGTGGAACCGCCGGGTCGGGCCAGAACGAGCGCTCCTTCGTGCGCGTGCTGCTCAAGCTCGTGTACAGTGTCGTGCACGGCATCGTTTACCCGCCCTTGGCCTGGGTCGGGTGGCTCTTCTACCAGGCCTACCAGCTCGTGATTCGCTCCCTCTTTGCCTCGGGTGCGTCGCCTGTCCTCCTCCATTGTGGCTATCTAGCGATCTGCTGACCTTGCCGCGCCGCGCAGCCGGCCCTCACCTTCCGCCGGGCAAGAAGTACGGCCGCATCGCCGTCATCGGAGCTGGGCTCACGGGCGTCTCGACGGCGGCGCACGCTGTCGACCACGGCTTTGACGTCGTCATTTTTGAAGCCGAGAAGGACGTCGGCGGTGTCTGGGCTCGGTGCGTGCGCACTTCGCTCCCATGCAGCCGCGAACCCTGCCGGAGCTGACCGGGTCGCCTGTCTTTGCCCTCCGCGTGCACGCAGCGAGAACTCAACGAGTCAGCTGCAGCTCAACAGTATCCTCTACCGCTTCCACCCTAGCGTCCTCTGGAACACAGGGTTCCCCCAGCGGGACGAGATTCTGTCGCAGATCGCCGCGGTTTGGCGCCGCTACAACCTGCAGGAGCACACTCGCTTCGGCGTGAGTGGTGCCAGCGCCCTCCCTTGACTCCCCTCATGTGCTAACGTATGCGCCGACTCTGCAGTACCGCGTCAAGAAGGTTATCCGTGATCCGGACTCGTCGACTGACCCGCGCGAGGGCGGACACTCGCGCTGGATCATCAACGACGGCAAGGAGGGCATCTTTGACGCAGTCGTGCGTCCACTTGGAAGTATCTGCGGACCTCTCGCGGACTAATGCTGACCCGTGCGAGACTCGCAGGTCTGCGCCCTCGGCACCTGCGGCAAGCCCAAGTTCATCGAGCTCGACGGCCAGGACCAGTTCAATGGGCAGATTATCCACTCGTCGCAGCTAGACAACGCAGAGCTCGAGGGAAAGAGGGTCGTCATCGTCGGCAGCGGAGCGTCGGGCGTCGAGTCCGCCGAGCTCGCCGTCGCAAAGAAGGCCAAGGACGTCGTGGTCCTCGCGCGCTCCGACAAGTGGATCATCCCGCGCAACACCCTCATCGACGTACTCCTGTCCCTCCAGCCGTTTGGCCGCGAGATGCCGCTCTCGTTCATCCCCGAGTGGCTCATCCGCACGTTCCACTACCGCGACCTCGCTTCCCTCTCTCCCGTCGACAAGGGCCTCTACCAGGGGTGGGCTTCTCATTCGCTGAGCCAGGGCGACTCAGGATGCGCGTGCTGACTCTATCGTCGCACAGCACCCCGATCGTCAACGACGAGTTCCTCGAGCACATCCGCCAGGGCAAGATCGAGTACAAGCGCGGCGACACAAAGTCGGTCGTCCCGTCGGGTATCCGCTTTGTCGAGCGCGAGCGTGGAACCAAGAGCGGCGACGACGGCGACGAGACGCTCATCTCGGCAGACGTGTGAGTCTCATTCCCCCTCGCTGCGTCCGACTCGTCTGTCTCGCTCTGCGCGTGACTCGGAGGACTGACACCCGTTCACTGGGCAGCCTCATCATTGCCACTGGATACAAGCGTCCGTCGATCGACTTTTTGCCGGACGACCTCTTCCCGAGCGAGAGGGACCGCGACTACCACCCGCCGTCGCTCTACCTCCAAAACTTTGCCGTCGAGGACTGGAGCGTCCTTATGACGAACGCGAGCTACCAAGGTGCGTCTCCCTCGTACCCAGTCGAGTCGAGAACGAGAAGCGGGTCTTGACACCTGTGACGTGCAGACGGGCTCGGCACCGTCGGCAACTGGCACATTGGCCTCCTCGCGCGCATCCAGCTCGTCTTTCTTCTCGACGAATCGACTCGTCCGGTACCTGCAGCGATGAAGACGTGGGTCGACGTCATCAACTGGGTCAAGATGCGGGCCTGGGGCGAAGACTCTGCCTCCGGCTTGACGTTCTTTACGTGCGCTCCCTCTCACTCTCGCCCGCCCTGATCCAGCCAGTCGCGCTGACGCGAGACCACACACACAGTTACTCGGAGATGTGTCTGTGGATCATCCTCTTCCACGCCTTCAACCCGCGCCGCCTGCCCTGGTGCGTCGCCCCAAGTCTCGCAGGCGCCTCTCCGCTTGCTGACCTGCTTTCTGCACCCTCGGAACCAGGCTTCCCTTCATCCTCTTCGGCTGGGGCGTGCGACCGGGCACCGCAGACCGCCTCTCGGTCGAGCGCGTCAAGGCCGCCGAGGAGCGCGCGAGCGGCTGGGGATCGCGCCTTCGCCCGTCGACCTGGGGCCGCGTGAGTGCCTAAGGCACCGTCGAGAGGTGTTCAAGCCCGGATAGGGACGTGAGTAGGCGTACCGCTCGCTGCAGTCAATGCCATTACCAGACACCGCCTCCCAGCAAGTTTCGATTCCTTCTGGTCGGCCTTGCTTGCTCACGGATCGCAAGCGGGACGGGCTCTTCACGCGGGCGGTTTAAAGTTGTGCGGTCAGTTTTTTTTTTGAACGAGATGCCTCGCCAGCAGGAGGTTTGGATTGAAGCGAGGCAGGCACCTCAGCTTGGCCAGACTCGCAGCGGAGAGGCTATGCTGTGTGCTCCACGCCGCCAACGCAGCGTCCAGCGGCGAGCACGTGCAGTCTGGAACATTACCCAAAGATGGCCCGTGTAAGCGCGAGTCGTGCTCGAGACAGCGACGGACGACAGAGACGCACAGACCTCTCTCCGGGGGTCAACCCTACCTCTCTTGCTTCACTCCCACACCGCTCCCCCAGAGTATCACAAGCAGCGAGTCTGACCCCTAACGGTTCTGGTGCCGAGAGGCGCGGACTTTGGCAGGAGGAACGCGATCTGCTAAATGTGGCTACATCAAAGCTAATTTTTGAATTCGTCTCACCCCAGTTCGGATAGCCCAACGGCTAAGCAGCCGTGGGGTAAGGGTAACCTGCGAGCTTCCCAAAGAGTAAGGGTGCCTCGGCATTCCTCACTGAAGCTGCTCGCGCACCGGGTTCGAGTCCCGGCGGCTGCATTCTCTTTTTCTGCCCGGGGGCTTTCGCCAGTCCCCTCGACACCTTTCTGCATGGGCGCCGTTCACGAGTCTCCCAGTCGAAGTTCCGCGGAGCCGATTTGGCGACCTGGCGCCCGTCCGTGGTTCTCGCCCTTGCAGTGACAGACCCGCGTACGACGACCGCCGGTCCCGCGTGTCCTCGTCAAGCACCTCGGGTCTCCAAAGGCGTCGAGAGCGACATCAGCATTGTCAATATGGTGGGACAACACGGGGTACGGGACTGCGCAAAGCGAGCGAAGGCCACGTCGTCAACTTGGGAAGGCCCGCCGCGGCGCACAGCGTGCGCTAGCTCGTTGTACCCACGGCTTCTGCTGCCTCTTGCGCCTCATGACTGCTTTGAGCAATCTGTGTGTATGTAGACAGGCACAGTTGAGGCGAGAGAGAGGACTTTGCGCACGCCGGGAGTGCCGAGTACCTCACCGTGGGCCTTCTCCTCGCGCAACGTCGCGAGTGGTTAAAGCAGGGGAACGAGGGCTGCCGAACAGAGCACAGTATGACTCACGGCTTGCGAGACCGCTCAGTCGCTCGAGGCAGAGACGGAGGCGGCAGCCAGAACCGTTTCTCGGCTCTCTTTGGACTCGTCGACTCGTCTGCGGCGCACACACTCGGTGACTTGCTCCCCTCATCCTCGCGTTCAAACGACAGAGAGCCCGACGCCCGAGCGCAAAGACATCAGGAACGAGTCTCGCCGATGCAAACCCAAAGACAACCCCCTCCCTACGCCCCATGCTGCCCGACGTCGTACAGCGCATACACGTTCGCGATCCCAATCAGCAGCCACAGCATCCCGCACAGCCACACGAGCCACACCGGGCTCGCGTACGACACCGTGCCCGCAGGCGCCCGTCGTCGTCGCAGCGGGTTCAGGGCGCGCGCGAACTCGAGGGCGCGGGCGCGGAGGGGGAGAGGAGCCGCTTCGGAGGGAGGGGGCGGTGGTGCGGGGGCGGGAGGCGCGAGCGGGTCGATGGGGATCGACATGATGGAGTGTTGGGCGCAGAAGATGATGAGCCTGCACGGCGCAAGTCCAAGTCAGCACAGCGACGACACTTGGGGAAGAAGCCTACGAGACAACGCACGGCATGAGTACGAATGTGAGCACAATGCTGAGCGCGACCTGACTCGCGACGAGGAGCGTGTCGATCCCTTGGCGGCCGACAGAGAGGGCGACGGCGAGCGAAGGGACGATGCCGATGCAGCGCGTGATGAGGCGTCGCTTCCAGGGCTTGGTGCGCCAGTTGATGAAGCTGTGGGGAGGGCGCGAGACGTCGTCAGTCGCGCACGGGGGACGGGTGGCGGGAAGCGCAGGGACGCACCCTTCCGAGACGATCTGCCCGGAGAGCGTCACCGTCAGACTCGCGCTCTGTCCTGCGGCCAGGAGCGCGACGGCGAACAGGTAGGCGAACGCTGAGAGTGCACTCGAAGAGAAGGGTCAGTCGCCACGCCGACTCGTCGAGCATCAGAACGGAGGAAGGTACGCACCCTGCCCGAGGTACTGCTTGACCAGGTCGTACGCGTCAAACAAGTCACTGACTCCCCCACCATCCGGATTCGAGCTCCTCCCGTCGCCGTAGTAGAAGACCGCCGCGCCGAGAATCAAGATCGCCGAGTTGACGACGACCGCAAACCCGAGGAGCGACCCGGCAATGTCGAGCGACGCGTGCGTCAGGTGCGCCTCGACGCACGCGAGCGTGGGCTTGCGCCTGGGGCGGGAGCGCGAGTCGGCGCCTCCTTTGCCTTGGTGCTCCCGCGCCGCCGCCGCCTCGGACGACCGCGTCTTGGCAAGGTCGTCCATCGCCGCAGACGTCTCCTCGTCTCCTCCTTCCCGCTGGCGCGCATCCGCTCCGAGCTCCTCAATCTCTTCGACCTCGCGCGCGCGCCTCCCGCGCGCAGGGCTCCTCGGCCGCGTCAGCGCGCCCAAGTCGAGCCCCAGCGCGCCGAGGTTGACGGGCTGCGGGAGGTGCAGCGCGGGGAAGAAGGGCCGCGGAGGGGAGGGCGACTCGCCGCGCCTGCGGGCGGCGGCGGCGGTCGAGAAGGGCGAGGCGAGCACGTCGGTGTAGCGCTGGGCGCGGGAACGGCGGTCGATGAATTCTTCGGGCGAGCCCGTGGATGAAGAGCGGCGCTGCGCGTCGTGTTTCTTCTGCCACGCGTCGTCGTCGTCGTAGTCGTCGTCCGAGGCGACGTCGCCGCCCTCGTAAGCTGCCGACGACTCGCCGTAGTCCTCGGGCTTGAGGCGGCGCATCGTCGCCATCTTGGACCCGATGTAAAACGCGTGGGGCATGACCGTCGCGCCGATGATGCTGAGCAAGGGTCCAATGGGTCAGTCAGACTCACGCAGGACGGGCGAGAAGCGCGACAGCGGGCTCACCCGACGGCGATGTAGATCCCACCGTCAGCGATGATGCCCGAGCGGGGGACGTAGCCGAGGAAGACGTCCTTCCACACGGGCGAGACCTTGACAAGGAGCGCGACAAACGCGCCGAGCACACACAGGACGAGGACGCCAATGAGGAGCTCAAAGACGCGCATCGAGCGCGTCACGGTCCGCGTCGGGTACTGGTTGAACAAGAGGAGGATGAGAAAGACGTCGGCCGAGGTGAGGAGGACGGCGCCGTAGAGTGGGATGGCGGGGATGAGGCTGCGAGCGTGGGAGAGTGCGGGGTCAGTCCGCCGTCTCGGGCGCAGATGGGAGCGCCCGAAAACGCACAGGTTGATGGCAATGGCGCTACCGAGCAACTCGGCGAGGTCGGTAAAGATGATGCCGATCTCTGCCATGACGTAGAGTGGGTACAACAGGCCCCAACGGTACACGAGCTTGTAGCGCGAGTCGCGGTCGTGCAGCGCAAAGCGGCAGTGCGTCGCAAGGTCTGCGCAACAAAGGGAGTCAGTTTCCGGGCCACTCTTACCGAGAGCAGCTTGCACCCCTCGCTACGCCGTGGGAAGGGCGACGCGCCGAGATGAAGCGACGAGGTCGGGCGGGACGCACCGTAATCCGAGACGCAGCCGAGTCGTGTCGACAAGATCTGAAAGAGCAGCGCCATGAGGCCCGCAAAGAGAATGACAAACAGGTGGCTGTATCCAAACTGCGTGGGGCAAGAGTCGATTCAGCTCGAGAGGGACGCGACGAGGAGCGCGAGCTCCGGAGCAGAGGCTAGAGCGGAGCCAGGACGCACCTGTGAGCCCGCGGCCAAGTCGGTGCTCCAGTTTCCCGGGTCGAGGTAGGCGACCGAGGCGATCACGCCCGGGCCGACAAAGGCGCCGTGTCGCTTGAGCGCCTTGATGGCTCTCTTGGAGCGACTCGGTGCCGCCTCGTCCTTGGCCCCGCCTGCCTCGACATCCTTCTTGTGCGCCCCCGGATCGCCGTGTGGGGCCGCATGAGGCGGTATGGGCGGTGGTTCGAGCGCGTCGAGCGGCATGTGGGCAGGCGGCTTGGCGTTGTTCGCGGCGACTTGATCCGACGATGCGAGCGAGCGCCGCGAGGGGGACCTGGCGGCTGTTCTGGGCGGGACGAGGTTGACGAGAGGGTGCGCACTGCGGTGCGAGGCGAGGGGCGGGCCCTGCATGGCGGGCGGTGTTGGACGAGGGCGGCGACGTCGTTCGATGGGAAGGTCGTCGGGAGGGGGCGGAGCGAGTCGGCGGAGCCGGGTGTGCAGCAACGAGCTGGCGAGGGTCGATCGCGCGTCTGGCAGAGTGTCGAGTGGTCACACGAGTTGTACAAGTGCTCAAGGGAGCACCAGGTGGAGAGCGTGGGGTGAGCAAGAGGGAGAGAATGCGGTGAGGCGATGAGCCCGCCAGAGAGCCAAGGACGCGGCTGAAATCCGCCAGGCTCTCGCTCAGGCCCATCGACCTGACGAGCGAGGTAATTCCCTGAAGCAATCACATGTACTCTGGTGCCAGTCTTGCCCACCCACGAGGGAGAGAGGTGGAGAGACGCGAACGTTGGCACCGCCTCGTCTGGTCGGCGACCCCGCTCGCTGCATCCCACCCTCGACGCAAGGCAGCCACTCTGAGCCTGCTCGGTCGACTCTAGAACAACTCTCAGCCCTGCCCGACACACCCGTCGGCTCCTCCGCCCTTCCCTCGCCTTTTTGCGCCCGTCGCTCAACCTCCTCAACGTCCGCCTCCTGTCCGCCGACGCCCACCTCGCAAGTGCCAGCCGCCTTGACCTCGACACCTCCGCACAAATCGCCAAACAACGCCCGCGTGCAAGCCCTAGCAGCCGTCCAATTACTCCCGCCCACGCCCTTCCCCCCTCGGCGCCTCGTCGCAGCGCGTCCGCACGCCTGCCCACCATGGACGGCCACCTCGCACCGAGCCACCTCTACGCCCGCCCGCAGGCCCCCTCAGATGTCGCCAGCGAGAACTTCCAGTGGGGCGAAGACGCGGCGAGCACCATTGCCCCGGACGACTCGGTGTCGCAGATTGACCGCCGCTTCACGGGGCGCAGGCCCATGCTCGGTCCGCGCGCCATGGACCACGTCGCTGCCGTCCCGGAGGAGCGAGGAGGCTACCACGAGCAAGCCGACGATGCGGTGCATCGCGACTACGTTCCGCCCGAACTCCTCGAGGACGACAGGAGCACCGTCGTCCCGACTCCTGCCGCCGCACGGCACTCACAGCCGTCGCGCGGCCCCTCGAGTGCAGGCGTCCGCGCTGTCAACCCCTCGACGACCGTCGGCCCGCTCGCGCGCGCTCGAGGCGAGAGCAACCCAGGCGTGGTTCCCTACGCCGCAGCGGGCGCTTCGTCCTCGTCCCCCGCGCAGGACCACTACCACGGCGACGAGGACGACGACGCGTCGCACCCGCTCGTGCCCGGCTCGGGCTCAGGCTTGGTCGGCCCAGCAGGCGTGCGCAGCGCCGCAGCAACGACCGTCACGCCGTACTCTCGCCCCGCGAAGGGGTACGCCGCCCTCGGCGGCGGCGACGACGACGACGAAGACGACGATGGAGGAGTGTATGCCGCG